GAAGAAGAAGAAGAAGAAGAAGAAGAAGAAGAAGAAGAAGAAGAAGAAGAAGAAATGCAAAGTATGGTGTCAGTTATAGGCAAGAAAGTTTTGAATGAAAACATTTATAATTGTAGGAGAATCATACTTTTAGCACTTCTAATATAAAACCAGTACAATATAAAACTAACTTTAGCAGGAACCTCTGCTTGATGTGTTGGGTTACTAAAAAGAGACAGGGAAGCTGTTATTTAAAATAGTTTCTCTGTTTCCTTAAAGAATACAATTCCTTTAAATTAGTTTAACATTGGCTTAAATGACTGCAACATTTTTGGTGATGTTGATTCTTCTACATTGAGGTTCTATTTCCTTGCATATTATGTTGAGGCACAACTTTTCTGTTCTCTTTTAAAGAACCCATCTTTTAGGGAATTAAAAGTGCATGATTTTCTTTTAATGTATTCATTATCTGACATGCCTTTGCTAGTGTTTCATAGGTAAATTTAAAAACTAATATAAGAAAAATGGAAAACACCCACCTCTGTGCATTGCCTGGAATTAAAAGACCATTCCCTTGAAGTGACAGTTTAATTAACAGTTAACTACTGCACCAGTTACCTATTATTCATCTTTTCAAAGTAGAAAAAATATTGATCTGGTTATGAAAAAAAAATGTTCTGTTTTTAGGTGTTATCCAAAAGTGTACTTGAGTAGTTTTATGAAATTCTAATCTGAAAAAGTGCCATTGTGAATTTCCATCAGTCTTTCTTAGCACTATTTGTAGTTATCAGGATGGAAATTAGTAAACTATAGATTGCTTTGATTGAGTGTGAATGCCATAAAGTAAGTAATGGGTCCTAGTGTCCATATACATAGACCCTCTTCATACTAATCTGTCCCCAATCTGAAATCCAAAAGTGCACCATTACTGGTCTAATCAGATCCATTCTCCTTGGTGCTGATTCTGCAAGGGTACAAGAGATAGTGTAGTTATATCAGAAATAATAATAAGGTAGAAAATAGAAAATATAGGTAATCAAAGTGAAAGATGAAACCAGTATTGTTAAGGAATGGAATGTCTAGTAATATTTAAATTAAATAAAGAGATAAATGGAATAAAAGTGAAAGAAAGGAAAACAAGTGGAAAATAGCAATTAAGGGTATTTTACTGAAATAAATTATGAGGATTATTGTAGACTATATTAATTTTGTTTAATGATCTACATAATATAACTGAAATGAATTGTGCAAGATTTGTAATGAAATCAATATCAGTTTCTAGGAAGAACCTGAATAGATTAACCATGTTATCTATTGTTTGCATTTTTTTCTTTCTTCTTTTAGAAGTCTAAAACGTATTGGGTGGGATTTAAAGGGAAAGTACCAAGCGGAATCTGTTTGGAAAGAGATATATGATATAAAAAAGTTATTAGAAGTTGAATGTTATAATTGATTAAGGGGATACTGTATAAATCAAATGTTTAATGGAATTTGAAAGGGTAATAATTATAAGATATAAAGGTGACACACTCTATTGGGTAATTGTAGGGGAAACCTTGCTTTGTAATGCCCGGAAGGGGAGGGAATTTTTTTTTCTTTCTCTTTTTGGGATGATGATGGAAAAAGATATATACAAGTGTAAGTATAATTACTATGAAGATATGGGAATTTGGAAAAGGATATGTAATAAAATTAGAAATGAATGAGAAGTTTTAAAATAAAGCGGAGGAAAGTAAATGAAGAAAAAATTAATGAAATCTATAAAGATAAGACATGAAATTGAATATAGAAAGATGAGTATATAATTAAAATTTTATCTGTATGGAGATGTGACAACCTGGAAACATGTTCTCTAAAAAAAGATGTTTTATTTTTTAATATGCTTTTTTTTTAAACCCAAATAAATTTTTTACAAAAAAAATAGTTCTGACATATGAAGTTTACAACAGTTTAGGAACACAGCTACTTTAGAAGTATTTGTGTGGTTATAGCAAGGAAAAAGATTGCTATAAGTAAGAATAACAAATCTTACATATGATACATATGACACGTATGAAGAGCTAGTATTCTACTTTTTAACATTTAAAAAGTAGAAATGCAGCACACCAATAAACGTATTAACGGGAGAATAGATCTTGTAACATCACTAACGTTTCAGCTACTTGATGATAGATGACTATAGTAAATGAAGAATCTGCTGAAACTAAAAAAAATCAATGGAATATTGTATATACTTATTTATTCTATTTTAATACTGTAACTCTTTAGAAATGCTAACTAAAAGGGCACTAATTAAAAGTGCAAATTTGTTACAATTGGATTGTAATATATTTATATTTTTGGTCTTTGGTGTACTTTGTTGCACTTTGGGAAAGAGGCATACTTCACTTTTTGATAATTTAATGCATCCTGAAAGGCTGATAGAAAATAATAGGGAATAGAAAATAAAATTCTGTTTTGTTACTGTTTTCTCCCCTCCAAAAATAAAGACAAATTATACAACACTTTTATAATCATTTTTAAATTCACATTGCTAAAGTATAAAGCTGTTAAAATTGGCCAGGAAAGTTACAGAAATCCCTATGCTTTTGTCCTTCAGCGTGTAAATGACTTTGGTGCAGGCTTTTTATATGCAAATTCCCAAAATGTGAGCTTCATTTTTAATGATGTGTTTTATATTTGAATACAAGTTGTGGATCTTTAAAGTTTTTTTTTTAGAATTATGTTTTTATTTAAATGAGCAATACATTAGCATAATATTTAAACATACATTGTAATAAAGGATAAAACAATTCTAACAAGAGAGAAGTATTTAATGTCAGAAGTTGTTTCAACCTTGTCCTAGTTTATAAGGTAGAACACTAATGAAATTATCACAAATACAGACAACTATGGCCATTTCACGGACAACATTTTTAATTCATCATCACAAGCTTCAGTTCAGGATAGGTGCTTTGGTCATTGAGTCATAAAATGTCCTGTGTAACTATGTCTATACATCCTTTTAGAAAGGGAAAAAATAACAGTTTGGAACCACATGATCATAGGATTCACATTTGTAAACTTTTGAAAAATCATGTCATTTCTTTAGCAGGCTTCGTAGTATAATGCTGGACTGGCAACAGGGAAGATGAGGTCAGCCATAAAAACTCAAATGTCTTTGAGCCAGTCATTTATATTCAGGCCATCCTATCACACAAAATAGCTGCGTTGGGCAAAAATGGGAAGAAGGAATGTAATGTAGGTCACCTTAAACTCCTGGAACACGGAATATAAATCTAAAAATTAATAACCATGTTTCCCCGGAAATAAGACCGGGTCTTATTTTCTTTTGGGCCCCAAAATAAGCCCTAGGGCTTATTTTCAGGAGTGTCTTTTTCGTTTACAGGAGGCACATTTCTTCTGCTTGCTTGTGTTGGGGCAGGAGGCCATGTGGCACACGAATGCCACTGCCACGAGGTAGGGAGGCTGAAGCTGCCCCACATGCCCTGCACTAGCTTACCTCAGACCACCCATTTCCTGACACCTGCCTCGCCTCAGGGCGGCAGCCCTAGCAGTTCCATCCAGCAGGACCTTGTGTGGCTGCTGGCCGACTTCTGCTTGCTCACAGCCGCAACAGAGCAGGAGGCCAAGCAATGCACTGGTGCAACAGCCACAAGGTGTGGTGTGGTGGAGCTGTCCCATGTGCCCGCACCAGCTTACCTCAGGGCCCCCGCAGACAGGCTATCCATGCCCTGACACCTGCCTCACCTCATGGCCATGGCTCCAACATACCACTTGGCTCCTGCTCCATTGAAACTTAGAGAAAGCGGAAGAAGTGGCCATGTGGATTCCTGCTGCACATGGCTGTTGGTGCTGCCGCTGCAAGGCAAATATTGGGGTGTGGGTGGCCTGGCTGCTGGGGCCCTGTGGTAAGCCAGTGCGGGGCATGTGGGGCATCTCTTCCACCTCCCTACCTTGCCTTGTGGCTGTGGGACAATGAGCAACCAGACAAAATGGGTGGGCGGCTGGCTGCACAGGCTCTTAAGCAGGGCTTATTTTTTGGGTAGGTCTTATATTAGGTACACACATTAAACAGGCCAGGGGTTATTTTGGGGATAGGTCTTATTTTCAGGGAAACATGGTACACTTTTGCACTTTTATAGCAAACTAGAAGTTTTGAAAAGCTCTTTAGCAAAGGTCTCAAATGGTAAAATAGAATTACTTATTAGCCCTTAACATTTGATTATAATTACTGCACTGTTCCAAATTATGCTGACCCAGAAGACCTTGTAAATATGCCTTGCGATATGCTCAGTCAAATAAGATAGTTCGATAAGACCTAAAATTAATTAATTAGTATCCTGTCTATTATTTTTACAAATAACTCAAGGAAGCAAACATATTCAACCCTGCTTCCTCCTCCTATTTTCCCTACAACAACCCTGTCAGGTGAATTGGGCTGAAACAGAGTGATTGGTCCAAGGTCACCCTGCTGGCTTTTATGACTAAGGCAGAATTAGAACGTGTGATTTCCTAGTTTCTAGACTGTACTTTAATCACTAGACCAGTGCTTTAATCACTAATCACTAGACCAGACTGGCTCTATTAATATACTATAACATTTCTATGATACCAATTCTACAGAGACTGTTAGCTGTTTTCACATATTGATATAGCATATGTCCATGAAAATAATAATTATAAAAATACCACCCATTAAAACTAGTGTGCCTCTTTAGTTGCCACTCCTGGGAATATTGTAAATCAAAATGTTCCACAGAACATTTCCATTTTGATTGCACTTCTAAAAATCATTAGAGACTGTGCCATTGAACTCTGGGGTAAAATTATTCCATAATGAAGAAATAAATACCCAAAAGTGTCCCAGTCTAACACTTGCACCCCTCCCCAAATAATTTCATATAGAAATATCATCAATAACATTGCCTCACATGAAGTTGACTTGAATAACCTGAAGATGACTTCTGCTTCTACCGGTGTATACCAAGAACACTTAACCAGTAAATAATAATTTAGAATAACCAAATAGAAACTCACATGGCTTCTGTTTATTAAGATCTGACTATTTAAAAGATTCATTTTGCATTAATGCTTGGTAAAGGCTAATCAAAAAATGAAAGCGAAATAAAATATAGTTTTTTTGTGTTGATACAGTATGGAGAAAAGAGGAACTTGAGGGCATCAACAGCACTTTCACTGGAGCTGAACGGAAAGCAGCTCTCTGTGGACTTCTAGAAAAAGAGACCCAGCTGGTTGCTTGCATTGGGAGACACAAAATAAATGTATTAGAAGACAACCACGAAAAAGCAATCCTGTCCTTTCTGGAAAAGGTCAGTGAGATAATTTCCATCTTAGTGTACCCAGAGTTAAAAAACCCAAATTAACATTTGCAAACTAACAGCATACTGAAGAAAAGCACAGTAATTAACTTACAGTTAAGAAAGTTATGATTTATGAGCTTTATGCATGTCTGGCAGTAAAATTGCCTCATTTGATATGGTTATTAAAAGTCTTTATACTCATAAATTTGATGAGAATTTCTTCTCACCTATGTACAGAGAAGCCACCACTTACATCTTAATTTACTTAATTACATCTTATTGAAAATGATGCTAACTATGCCCTCTATAACCTTTCATTAATACTGTATTATAGGCACATGGGGTAAATTTATTATAGTAATTTCATTCACATTACCAGGATTTATTTTCTACAATATCTTATTTCTGTCACTGTTGCAACACCAGGCCACCTTTGGCTCTACTGCAGGAAAATATGAAATTTTTGTGTAACACTTTTCAGGAAAACTAGTTATTTCACATGTAAAATAACATTTCTATTGTGGGGAAGTATTTAGGGGAAGACTGCAGCATCAAGTAAATTAACTATACCCATCATCCTGTTTTCTTTTCAGTTGAAAAAACTGGTAGAGTTGCATCCCAAGAAAAAATAGGTTTTGGTCTGATTTTCTTGTGTAGATCCTATTGCTGCTGGATAGTTTGAAGTTGTAATTTGTCAGATAATTAATGGCAATCCTTTTCTTATCTTTTTTTTAAAAAACAAATTTTATTCAATTTTTCACATAAAAACAAAAAGCTCTTTTTAGTGGACAACATATTTCTGGATCATCACTTTTACGTACAAATATGACAATAGTTATACATTCATATATGCATACTTAATTCTATTATTACCTTTTCCATTTCAAACTTCCAGAAAGGAGAGAAACAAGCAAATTAATCCTAGTCTCTCACATTAATCTCAATCAAAACATCTTTTCGTTTCATTTCATTTATTTCAAATATAATCCTTTAATATTTATTTTAAAAATAAAAATAACAATATATATTTGCCTAATAAAAAAAAGTTACCAATGTCTCTCCTTCCTTTTAATAGTCTATATTAGCTTATTAATTTAAGTAGTTCTTCAATCTGTCATATTTTCTTTCCATCACACATTCTTTCTATAGATTCTAGATTAATACAAGTTTTAACACAAAAGAAAAAGAAACAAGTATAGGTTTCCCCCCCTTTACTGCTTTGAGTGTGACACCACAGTGGTTAAAATATACCTTTATTCCCTCATCTTAATTCCCAATAAACCATTATTTTTAAGTAGTTACAATAATAATCATTACATCTTTTCATTTGGATTCCGCAACATATTTTCCCCCCTTAATTTTATTTCTAATTTCAAAAGAAGTAAAACGGGAAAAAATTGACTATTCAATTTCTGGTCATTGATATTAACCTCATTTTTAAACATCTTCACATCCATTTCAATTATTACAATTTCTTCAGTAAACCTTAACTTTTCTTTTGAGAATAAAAATAAAGATATATATTCATCTAATAAGAGTTATCAGTATCTATCCCTCCTTTAATAATCTATATTACGCTATTTTCTAAGTATTTTTTTAAATTGCAAATATATTCTTGTTACCCCTTGTCACCCTGCAGAAGCCCATTTTTAATTCATCAACCATTATCTCTGAAAAAAATGATTTCTTTTCATCGTTTTACTATTTCCGTGTTTCTTTATTTCCTGCACGTGTTTCTTACTGCCTCTCCTCACCCTCTTTTTCCCATATCTTTTCTCATTCCAGTTTATATCCCTCTCTTTCTTGATATCTTCCTTTCCCCTTTCCTTCTGCATCTTTCTACCTCTCCTGATTTCACAGGTATCCCCCCTTTTGATTACCTTCTTAAATCTCAACTTTTTAGCCTTCCTTCTTTTCCCTTTTCTTTGTAGTGTTCTTTGTGTTAATTGTCTATTTAAGATGGCTTCTCCTTGAATCGACTCTTCCTCCCCTAAAGTTCTTTCTTCTTGTTCTTCAATCGCCATTTCCATTTCTTCTAACACAGAGCAAAGTGATTCACCTCTTTCCTGTAGTAGTTCTCTCATATTTTTAAGTTCCATTTTTAATTCCTGAAGAGATATCATCATTACACACTCTTATATTTTATAATCTTTGAAGTCCACAAAAAACACTGTTGCTTTCCTTCTTTCTTCTTCCAGTTTTCTAAAGTTCTCAGTTGTTCCAGCCAAGGGTCTATACCAAAAACGTAGATCAATCCCACAATCAGTCTTTCCTTGCTTCTTTCTTTATTCAGCTTTCACTTTCTAAGATTCTTTGTTTCAATATTTCTTTAACATTATATCAACACAAGTTCATACAGAAATAGGATGCTTTCCCTTTTGTTTGAGTTCAAATTTTTGTCAGAAGATGGCACTCTCCATTATACAAAGTCCTCATCTTTTTCCCCTATTTTTTTATTTAGGGTTTTTCAAACCTCAATATTCCAGCACAATCCAGTCTCCAATTTGTAAATTTTATTATTATTATTATTCGGCAATCTTAAGTCCAGCTTTATTTAATGCCTATTTATTACCGAAATATTTTAGTCCAATTTAATTAAGTCTTTAGTTCTGGCTTCTTCCTTTCCTGGTTTGAATCCCCGCTTAGCTGTCAAAATTATTTTCTTATTTTTTTTCCCTATCCCTTTGTATTTCTGCTGCTCACTTTTCTTTTCTTAAAAGTTCAATGTTACCTTAATCCCAGGGTACTTTTTGTTTAGTTGTTTCGCCCCATTGTCCTGGTTCAGATGTTATCTACCTCTTTCTTCCCTCCTGCACAAATCTTAGTCCAGCTGAGTCCTCTTCTTCGGGGTGGCCATTTTAGACCACCGCTTCAGTCATCTTCAGGGGGAAAAAGACCAAGCCCAGGAGGGGAGATGCGGCTCCCCTCAACCTGGCTTGCAGCTTCCCCTTACTCCACCACCCCTCCAAGGCAGCTTCAGACCCTAATCGCAATGATCGGGGCTCTCCGATGAAAGGGCATGGACCATAGCCGTGGACAGTCATGATATACGGTCTGTCAGCGAGGAGGGCTCAACCCGGAAGTCGGCAATCCTTTTCTTATCTTGTTGTTAAGCTTCCAGTGACCTATTCCTTTTCAAATCTCTCACAAGAATCTTGACAAACATGAGCACTGGGCCTTGTTCAAGAAGATGTAGTTCAGTGGTGAGAAGAATAAGGTCCTGCATTTAGGCAGGAAAAATCAAATAAGTACTGCCTATTTAGAACAGGCAGTACCTATCTTCACAGTAGTAATTTTGAGAGGGATCTAAGAGTTCTGGTGGGCTACTGCTTAAATATGAACCAGCAGTGAGCTCTAGCTCCAGCCCTAACTCTTTTATTCTAATTATCAGGTATACGTTAAGCCAAAACAAGTAAAGAAAGTAAACTGTAAATTTAAATTGTTGTTCTGCATTGTACTCTGTGTGTGATTTTTGTTTCAGAGGACAGTTGAATCTACTCACATATATGATTTGAACTAAATACCTAAATATTTCATTTATATATTAGTGTTTTCTTATTATGATATCTTATGAACTTAGAGTTCTAACATTAAGATGAATTCTTCATTAGAAGAAGCTTCAGACTAAAATTAAAAGTAGGAATGTAGAGATAGTAAATAAATTCACCATTACTTTGGAATCATAGCAAATAATTCAAATTCAAATAATAACAATAGAGCAGTAGATATGAAAAAGACATAATAGGAAATTATTATTTTTAGGGTAAATGTCTTAAATTGCTTATCCACCTCTAGATGTCACCAGCAGCCAACACTATACTGTACTTGAAATAAACAGAAGCTTTGATGCATCCAAATACACAGCATACAATATTGTACAATATCCATAAATATTGTTTCCCCTAATTTTAAAATTGCTTCATTTCTATTCTTCAGTTTCCCTCATAACACTACTCCCCTGCTAGAGACTGTTTGTATCAGGAGAAAATGTATATGAAACCTTATCAAGTTTATGCTCTAAATCCAGTTCTCTGCTGAAAGAGAAAATTAGATGGAAGAAGCAGTTGGTAGTTAACTCCATTTCAATCAGCAAAAATCCTACTTTAGTTTAATAAACAAAAATCTCCTTTCCTATCCCACTGTAAGAGACAGCTATCTAACTATAATTTGCTGACAATTGACTCTGAGAATTGTTTTGAATGACAGCAGAAACCAAGCAATGGGTAAAACCAGAGGGTGTGTCTGCTAAAAATGTGGGCAAGAAGAGAGAAACGTTCAGTGGAATTACCACTGACTAATGGAATGGATAGAGAGATTCTTTTCCAGCAGGAGGGAGAATAGTGTGTGGAGTTATGTGCTGCAGAGCTCCCTTCTGGGGCCAGTCTAATACTATTTTAAAAAGTTATAAATGCTTAAAACGAAAGAGTGAAAAGCCCTCTTATGACATATGCAGTTGACACAAAACTAGATATAAGAAAACATATTGTGCAGAGAAAGCTGACATCTTCTAAATTGTTACAAAGATTGCATAAGATAAATGAGAACTGTCCTATGACTTGGTAGCTCATTCCGGTTTTACTCATTCCACACATAAGACTATGGTTTAATCACAAACTGTATTTTGAGAATCTACTGAAATAGTTCAATTTTCTTTCTCTCTTTGGTTCAAGGTTTCAACTGCTTAGGTTGATGTACCTTATTTTCACTTCCGTAGGCTTTTTCCAGCTGGGGCCTATCTTTTATACATGTACTACTCCACATTAAAATACATGCACATAATTAAGCCAATAGTTAATTGATTCCCCCTCCCTCTCCCCCCCTTTCTCTCACACACATATTCATTGTATAGTTTGAATGAACAGATACTTTTTTCTCACTCCTTTGCCAGAAGCCAGCATGTTTTGTTATAAATTACTAAAGTCCTTTTTAGTTTTCCTTGTTGTGATTGATCTATGACACTGTCATATGTAAATATATTCATAAAATACTACATTTTAAAACCATTTTTGCTGTTTTAAGATGCTTCCTGAATATTTTAGGAGAAATGAAAATATTGTTTGTTTGAACTTTCTACAAATTTTTCTTTTGTTTAACAATTTCTATATAATTTTTTTAGACATAAGTTTATAAGATTAAGTTATAATATTGTTCAAAAAGGTAGGTTCAAAATATGTTATTTTTAACATGCTTCACGTGTATATGTGTCTTGGTTATCTGAGGCAAGAAACAGCAAAGTTTTAGATCTTAATTAATAACAATAAAGATGATATATCTGGCATGTATTGTATTATCTGTATGTATTACTAACACCTTGCTTGGAATCAGACAAATGTATATCAAGTTCATACCTTCATTCTAAAAATGGGCTCTCTGCCCAAAAGTTGGTGTGAAAGAGCAATCAGTAAGATCTTTTATGTAATAAAAGATGCATAGTTACTGCATAAGTAGAGCAATTTTGTCATTCTAGGATGTTCAAGCAATTTCTTCGGATTTCAACCTATTCTGCATATTGAAAAGTTGGATTAGGAAACATATCAGAATGCTGGTTGTATGACTTACAGAATTAAGGTTGGGAGATTTTGGAACATATCAGATTGCATTTATATAAGTCCATCATTGATTTCTTAATATGCAAACCATTATTTTTCAACGTGGTTTAATAAAGCATGCTAAAATTCTTCAAATATAACTGCCTCAAGCTCAGTTTACTAATCATAGGTAGAACGATATCAAGCCACCACAGAATCTTGATTTTAGTAGGGTTGCAGGGGACAAGGAGGCTCTGGGACAAGGCAGGAATTCCCACCATGGGAAACTACACATCTCTCAGCTACAATATTAATCCTGCAAATCTGACCTTATAGCATGCTCCATTTTTGCTAAAGCAAACAAACCAAAAAACCAAACCTGGCTTTGGTGCATGAGAGTGTCTGGAGTCCCGCGATATTTGGGAATACAAGCAGGTTCTGATCCTAGGGTGAAGCAAACCAGATTGGGAAACATTCATTAAAATGTTTTGTGTATACAGAGAAAATTAACGTGTGATCAGTGACTTTGTATCTCTTTAGCTACTCTGGGTATCATAATTCTGGCTTACAGTGTCTCATAATACATATAAAAGGTCTGTATTATCATGCATGCACGAGAAAACAAATTAATAGAACTTTAATTATGCTGGAGCAAGAGTCCTTTGTTTCTGATTCTGTCAAGTGCTTACTGGCTCTAATTGAAAGATGTAGAATTTTAAGCAAAAATCTATTGCATCAATTTTCAAAATTGGTTTTGGCTTCAGTCCATCAGTTCCAATTATCCACACTTCATTTAATTATAGAACTAAACCCACTAAGAATCTGCCAAATTCATATTTATGAAATTCTATTTTTTTTAATGCTTATATAATTTGAAAAATAGGAGTTTCTTAATCGTGCACAGACTTCTGTTTCCAGTATCAAACAGTACCTGTGCATTTGAGCTTCCCAGAGATGTATAGAGTTGTGAGAATAGAATTGCTAAAGTTCAAAAGAAAAAAAAAAAAAGAACACAGCACAGTGAGCTTTGTTCATTGCTTCCCCCAAGCACATAATTTACAGCAGGAAGGGGCCAAGACAGTTAGAAGAGACTTCCAAGGTACTAATCTGCCCTGGCTGGTGCTTATTAAACAGGCCAAGACAGGTTAGAGAGAATATCGCCGTAAGCCAGGATTAGAAACCTCCTAATATCTACCCACCCATGTTCATTCCATTTCTTGCCCTTACATAGGAAGTAAGGAGTAACCCAAGGCTGAAGATTTAGTCATACTGAAAAGGAACTTTTAAAAGATAGGAGTATTGCCACGGTTGCTTTTCTAAAAGAAAATTAAATCAGGAGAGAGTTCTGTCAGAGAGAATTGATATGCTGTCTCTCTCCTCCACAATGTAGAATCCATAGTGGACCACAGATCTAAAGTAAAGGAGCTTGTAACTCAAGTGCAGGGGTCAAATGATGTTAAGGCTCTTCAACTTACTAACCACACAGAGGCATTCATGGAAGGAGACCAAAAAAGTCAATATAGTAGCCATAATTACACAATCAAAGCCTGGGCCCTGTATTACGTGTAACCACAGACAAGTCCTTTGTCAGTTCCTGGTCTCAAACAGGTTTACTGCAACCCAGTTACTCAATGCAATATGTTATTTTCTTTCTGGTTATTTGATGAAATGCTATACATGTTAGTCATCAATGCTAATTTTTGTTTTTAATTTTACTTATTAATCAACTAACTAATAATTTATTATTCCTGCCTGCATCAAGATAGCATTTATTCTCAAGCAATATCTATAACAGTCTGAAAAAGCCTTACATTTATTAAATCCAATCTATTAAATCTAAAACTATTAAATCCAAAGTTTAAAATTACCTAGCTTAATTAAGCAATCCAAGCTCCAGGACTTCGACAGTCATTATTATGCTACATTGTACCTAATTTTTATGCACAGCTGTGCATCTCCTGTTATGACAAAAATAATGAAATTGGTTTACATGAATGAAGATCATGCCACCAAGGGTCTAACAGGTGCTAAACAGATTCCAAAAGCCTTTTTTGAAGAGAAGGCGAAGTGAACATCATGTTTAACTCAACTGCATGAAAGTAATGGCTCTCACTATTTTATTTACCTAATCTTCCCCATTTCCCCTATCTGACTGCAAACCTAAAGTTCTATCTATTTACATTATTTTGATTTATTTTTTGCCCATCCATGTTTATAAAAAAGCATGATTGCCAAAAAATTAGTAAAAACTTCAATGTTAGAATATGAAATCTATAAAGTAGATTATTTCAGAAAAGTGTTTATGGCTTCTATATTCAATAATTTGGACAAACTTGATACATTTTGGGAAATAAATTATTCACCTCTATCAATAGATTAGCATTATTAAACTGTTATTATAAGATGATACTGGTTCTAACTGCATTCTGTTAAACCTGTTAATGTATAAGTGAATATGTCTTTTTCCTAGTTGTTTGTATTGTCCTTTGAATTTGATACGTTCATTAGAAAATGACAATTTTACAATGAATCATTGGATTTCACAATTATTTATAAGAATTTATGCAAAAAATTTAGCAATTGCTGATTTCTTAGAATAATAATTATTCTTCCGTTAACTAAAATGAAATGCTAAATATATAAAAGCAACAACTGAGCCTCCATTAAACTCCTATCACTGTACTTTATTCATGTGCTGCTCCTTGTTTTATAATCATTTGTCCAAATTGTTTCTCCAGTGTGCAGAACCAAAAAGATGGAAAGCATTTGATGGCAGAACCACAGAAATGGATACACAATTCACACTGCGGGCCAGGGAATTACTTGGAATCTATCGCAGCATTAGTATGAAAGATCTTCCCCAAGATGAGCGGTTAGATGTGCTGTTAAGTCTGAAACATACAGTAAAGGTTTGTTTCTCCAAGGCTTTAAAAACATACACACTGATGTCACACATCAACAGTATGTAACGATTCATATGTCAGACGAAGACCAGGAAGATTGAAGTTCAACCATCTCATCAGCCTTGGAAGCTTATTGTGAATATCAAGCAAGTCATTCTCCTCTACCACATAGGGCTGTTGTTGTAGAGAAAATTGGAGAGGATGCTCCAATTTACTGTGTAATGTTGCCTTGAGCCCTAAGAAATAAATATTTGATGTTCTCCAATTGTATTTAAGGGCTTTATTCCTTATTGTTGTGGAGGTAACACCTTTACTTGCTAACTGCCAGGGTTCCAAGTAAGGTCCCAGATGCAATTCAAGATGCTGATTGGCCCAGAACTTCAATACTTGTAGGATCATCTGTGTCTGGTTGTTTCTGGCCATCCCACACATTACAATAGAGTGGGCACATTCCTGGCCCCTTCCCTGAAAGATGCCATCTGCCTTTTCAGTGGTGATCCCTGCTGCCCTCTGAAATGATCTTTCCCCTAAGATTTGCCTGTCTCCAATGTAGTTGGCTTTCAGGAAGGCTTTGAAGACGTGGATGTTTTCTCAGCACTGGGGATAGAACATTCTGGGAGGCTGAGTATGTTGTTGTTATGCCCCAATTGTGTGATTTTTGTTTTCCTGAATGGTGTTTTTGTTATTGACATTTGAGATGCTATGATTTGTTTATGGCTGTATGCCACCAGGAATCACATTCCCTTGGCATGTCTCTAATCTGGATTGGGTTCCTTACAGAGGTAGGATTCAAGCATTTTTACTACTGGTTCTGTGGGTATGGCTTGGTAGGCATGGCAGGGGAAGGATACTGTAAAATTATCCAGTCGGAGGTGCTATTTGCCGGTTCTCCAAACTACTCAAAATTTCTGCTACCAGTTCTTCAGAACTGGTCAGAACCTGCTGAATACCACCTCTGGTTCCCTCCATCACTATTTTCACTGAATAACCTCCCCCCCAAAAGATCCTTTATTCATTTCAAGGAAAATGTTTTACATGTAGCTTACTATCAAATCTATCTTTCTGGATAATCAAATGCTTAAAGATCACAACTAATGGCTGAGGAAAATACTGAATTCACATTTCTAAAAGGAAAAAGGTTTCTGAAATGTTGAGCAGTATCTGACATTTTGGCTGTTTGTTGACCCTTTCTCAGAAGAGGTTTTCAAAGCCATTCTCTGTATATATTTTAGATGCCCTGCAACCTGTAAACTATTACAACTGGCAAGCCATATTAAACAAATTAGAATTTGCTAATCCCTTTGTTTATTTTTTCAGGAACATGAATGTAAACTCACACAAGAAATAGTGGAATTAATTGATAGAGAAGCAGACCTCATGATGAGAGCAGTGAAGGAATGTAATTTACAAGGACTTCGACAAAGAATCTGTACATTATTTCTTCAGTATATTAAAACACCACTTTTTAATCCAGAAGTTGCACGACTTTTGAAGGTATTTTTCTTCTTCTGTTTTATACGTGTGTGTGTGTGTGTGTGTGTGTGTGTGTGTGTGTGTGTGTGTGTG